CAGAGCACCAGTCAAGTTACAACAACCAACTTCAGTCGATATAGCTTACTCCTTAGCTCAAACACAAGAAGCACTGCTCGCAGAGGACACCACAAAATACAGCAAGAAATGGGAGCCACGCTTCAGCTCCAGGCCATATATACATCAAGGGTTAATAGGTTCTTCACCAGCGGACAAAAGATCTGAAGAGCAACCATGGGTATCAGATAAAGTGGACAATCTCAGGGCTCAGCGCAGAGCAAGAGGAGAATGCTTCAAGTGTGGAGAAAAATATGGGCCAGGTCACAAATGCCCCAGTAAAGTGCAGTTACATGTCATGGAGGAACTATGGGATGCTCTGCAGTCACAAGATTCGGCTGTTAGTGACTCTGACAGTGAACAGCAACCAACTGAACCAATTGACAAAGAGAGCGATGACTGTATGAAACTATCTGTGCAAGCAGCTACGGGAACATCTTCTAAGGAAAGTATCAAATTACAGGGCATGGCGGGGAAACGCCAACTGCTGAAACTGGTAGATTCTGGGAGTTCCACTAATTTTATTAGAGCAGATTTGGCCAAGGAACTACAATGTTCAACAAAAGATATTCCTGCAGCAACTGTTACTGTTGCCAATGGGGGTACTCTGCCCTGTACTACACAAGTGCCTAATTTACAGTGATTTTGTCAGGGTCAAACGTTCAATACTCAGCTGAAGGTTCTACCACTGGGCACTTATGACATCATACTGGGCATGCAGTGGCTTGAAACTATGAGCCCTATGTGGGTGGATTGGAGGGAAAAAATCATGAGGTTCAAATATCAAGGAACAAGAATAACACTTCGAGGTGTTAAAGACCAACCCAATGCATGTAAGGCCATCTCTGGGAAACACTTGCAAGGACTACTGAACACTGGAGCAGTTGAACAGGTTATTCATCTCTGCCATATGGCAGAAAGACCTATGTCAGAAACTGATATACCACCCACAGTGCAACCTCTGATCAACAGACACAAACAGTTGTTCAATACCCCTACTACCCTGCCACCTCATAGAGAATTTGACCACCAGATACCTCTCATACCTGGAACAAAACCTGTGAATGTGAAACCTTATAGATATAATCCAATGCAGAAACAAGAGATTGAACAGCAAGTAGCTACTATGCTTCAACAAGGAGTGGTTCAGCACAGCTGCAGCTCTTTTGCCTCCCCTGTTCTGTTGGTCAGAAAGAAGGATGGCACCTGGAGATTTTGTGTGGATTATAGGATGTTAAACTCGGTCACAGTTCAACACAAATATCCCATGCCTATAGTAGAAGAGCTACTGGATGAATTAGCAGGAGCCAAATACTTTACCAAATTGGATTTGAGATCAGGATACCATCAAATCAGGTTAATAGTAGGTGAGGAGCATAAAACAACATTTAAAACTCACCATGGCTTATATGAATTCAAGGTTATGCCCTTTGGGCTGACTAATGCACCTGCAACATTGCAAGCTGCAATGAACATCCTGTTTGCAGTGCTACTAAGGAAATGCGTGTTAGTCTTTATGGATGACATCCTCATCTACAGTAAAACTCTAGAGGAGCACCTCCAACATCTGGAGCAAGTCTTTAAAATTCTGCAAGAAAATCAACTGTATGTGAAGATCATCAAGTGTTCTTTTGCCCAACAAGAACTAGAATACTTGGGACATGTCATAAGTGGAGCTGGAGTTCAGACTGACCCAGCTAAAATTGCAGCAGTTCAGAACTGACCTGTACCAACCAATGTCAAGCAAGTGAGAGGATTTTTGGGACTCACAGGTTATTACAGGAAGTTTATCAAAAACTATGGGATTATCAGCAGAACTCTCTCTGACTTGTTGAAGAAGGATGTGATATTCCAGTGGACACCCACTACAGAAGCTGCCTTTCAAAGCCTTAAAACTGCTCTAGCTCAAGCCCCAGTTCTAGCTCTACCTGATTTCAAGAAAACATTTGTCATTGAGACAGATGCTAGTAACAGTGGCATTGGAGCAGTACTCATGCAGGAAGGACACCCTATCTCCTACCTGAGCAAAGCATTGGGACCTAAAGCTCAAGCTCTGTCCACATATGAGAAGGAATGTTTGGCTTTCATCCTGGCAGTGGATAAGTGGAGAAGTTACTTACAGCATGCCCCCTTTACACTGTCAACAGATCACAGGAGTCTGACACATCTGCAAGATCAGAAAATCACTACTCCTATGCAGTAGAAAGCTCTCTTAAAGCTGCTTGGACTAAGATACACCATCACATATAAAAAAGGTCAGGATAATACAGCTGCTGATGCATTGTCCAGATCACCTGCTCCTGTTGAACTACATACCATATCATTCTGCACACCTAAATGGTTGAGTGTGGTAGCTGAAGGATATCAGCAACACCAAGAAGATAAGCAATTGTTACAAGAATTGGCGCTGAATGGCTCTAATGACAAAGGATATGTGCTACACCAAGGGATCATCAGATATAAAGACAGAGTATGGCTGGGTCACAACACTGAAGCTCATCAGGCTATTATGTTGTCTCTACACTCTAGTGGAGTGGGGGTCATTCTGGATTTCAAGGAACATATCAGAGAATTAAGGCACTGTTTGCTTGGCCAGCTATGAAACAAGACATTCAGAATTATGTGAAGGAATGCACTGTATGTCAACAAGCCAAAGTTGAGCATGTCAAAAAACCTGGACTGCTCAGTCCTTTGCCAGTCCCTAAAGAAGCTTGGAACATGGTCACCATGGATTTCATTGGTGGTCTTCCCAAGAGCAAACACTTTGACACTGTACTGGTGGTCATTGACAAATTCAGCAAATACGCTCACTTCATTCCGTTGTCACACCCATTCACTGCTCTCCAGGTGGCCCAACTGTACATGGATCATGTGTATAAACTGCATGGCCTTCCTCAAGTAGTGGTAACGGACAGAGATCCTATCTTCACAAGCACGTTGTGGCAAGAGTTATGCAAGCTTTCTAACACGAAAGTGAACATGAGTTCTGCTAGTCACCCAGAAACTGATGGTCAATCAGAGAAGCTCAACCAGTGCCTGGAAACATTCCTGAGATGCATGGTACACTCGGCTCCCAAGAAATGGGCATACTGGCTGCCTCAAGCCGAGTACTGGTACAATACAAACTATCACTCAGCTCTAGGACATACACCGTTCCAAGTATTATATGGCTATCAACCCAGACATTTGGGCATTTCAAATCTGCAGAGTTCTCTATCTTCAGATCTCTCCGGCTGGCTGGCTGAACGTACAATGATGCAAGGATTAATTCGAGAACACCTCCTCCGAGCACAACATAGGATGAAAGCGCAAGAGGATAAACACAGGTCTAACCGGCAATTTACAGTGGGCGATTGGGTCTATCTGAAACTGCAACCGTATGTTCAGCAATCAGTGGTGAGACGCTCCAACCATAAGCTCGGATTCAAGTACTTTGGACCCTACCAGATCGTCGAAAAGATTGGAACTGTGGCCTACCGACTGGATCTTCCAGCATCAAGCAAAATCCATCTTGTAGTTCATGTGTCTCTGCTGAAGGCGGCCAAGCCCCCAGACCAGACTGCAGTACAGACAGAGACGCTGGATGCAGTACTTCTGTCAACTGCTAGGACACCGGCACAGGTATTGCAATCCCGTTTGGTGCAGGTTGGTGGACACACGCGACAGCAACTGAAGATTGCATGGAGAGGCCTTCCTGTGTCCATGGCAACTTGGGAATGGGCGTCAGATGTGGCACGAACGACAACAGCGTGATGGTGAATAGTCCGAGGGCGTCCTGTTGCTTAAGGGGAGGGGCATGCAACGACCTGGGCCTTGCCGTGCCTTGAGTGGGTGGATGGCCGTTGGGCCGGCCTAGTGCGGCCTGTAATGGAACCGTTATATAGCTAGCGTGTGGAGGGGAGAAAGACAACTGGCATTGTAAACATTATTCTCTGAAATACAATCCTTCCTCTCTGCTTCTTCTTCCTCCCCACGCGCTTTCCTTCTGCCTCTCGTTACCACATCCTGGCGTGACGCGAGGAGTTGCTGCGATCCCGTAGCAGATTGCTGATGCGAAAACGAGATACGAAAGAGCAGCATGAATATATAGCAAGTTAATTCCTAATATATCGAAATAAAGAATGCCACTTGTTGATGATTTTGCCGGCATCCAACTGTTCTCAAATTAGTTTATTCAAGAATTCAAACATGCCAATGCTATAAAAGAATGGAATCCTAGAATTCTTATTCAAGAAATTTTGGGCCCTTACGCGCATATAACAAATTAAGTCCCAATATACATACTTCTCTTACCCATATGGATATATGGGTAAACAGAAAAAAGGATAAATCATCTAGACATGGCCTGAGAGCAGACTATTAGACCATCTCTAGCCTTTCCCTAAAATTTAACTCCTCAAACAACGACCCATCAAAACATATAACTCCTCAAATTTGATATGCGCACAACAACTTTCTGGCCAGTAGATGATATGCATAAGTAATTTGAAAAGGACTCATCAAGCGTGAAGAATGCATGCATGAAAGAAAGCAGTCAAGAAAGTCAGCAAAATTCGTCCTCCACGGACCGCTGTTTGGATCGAATTATCTCGCCACCAGGAAGCTGGAGGTGCTCAATATAATTAGTAGCTTGTCGACTGCAACCAAAAGGTATCCATCTGCCCCAGGCTCATGGAACTGCTCTCTTTAGGGCCGGGAGGGGCCACATAGGGTTATGGTGGATGGCATAGAGGGTATGGCGCCACCAGCATGGAGATGGACAGTGACGGACAGCGGTTGTTGGGTGATTGCCAAAGGAAAAATAGTGTCGGGAAGGAAAAAGAATTCAGGAGAATAGCTCTTTTTCCCACAAATTTGAGCATGGAGAGGCAAGTTTGAGGGAAGGGCCGGAAGGGGTTTAACCCCTCAAATTAGGGAGTTAGAAGAGATTTGATGGGAGAGCCTACAAGAGATGCTCTTATATATGCCTCAAAATATGTGAATCAGAGCACCGACAAGATCATGTTGGTGCCGTGAGTCCCACAAAATCTGGATTTATGCTTAACCATACGGACACCAGGTGACCCGTTGCCGTTCCCATTGACACTGCCTTTGCATTCTCCATTGTCATTATTGCCGTTCCCATTGTTGTTGCCTTTGAAAGCACCGTCATCGTTGTCATTCCCATTGCCGTTGCTGGGTAACACTATCTCAATGCCAGTGAAGACAGCCAATATGTCATCAACCAACCAGAGGCCGCAGCGGCAATCGTAGTCCTTAGTTTCGAAGAAGTTGGTGACGCAAAATCTGCCGGAACCGAGGCGGACCACTTTGGCGGGGCGGTAGTGCGGGTACCATCCCTCTGGCACGTCGGTGTCCGCCCAGATTCGTGTGTGCTCCGGCAGCGGCTCCTCCCCTCTAACAACGCCGGAGATGTCTGCGGCGCACGGGATGTGGAAGTTGCTGTGAGAGACGCCAAACCAGAGGCCGAGCCCTGGGTCATGCTCTGCCTTGCCGTGGAACGGCATGAGCCAATCGCCAGCCTTGCTCCACTCGCGAGTCACCGTGTCGAAGCAATAGGTGCCGACGCCCCTGACGGAGATGCAGATGGTGTGACCACCAACTATGGCGTAGGAGCAGATGGAGGCCGGTTTGTTACCAACCTGCAGGTCGTGGACGAAAGGCGGCGGCGGGAGGGCGTCGCAGTGCCACGCCTTGCTGGAGCAGTGGAACCGCCTGCGGTACACGATAGCCTCGAACTGGACCTGACCCTCGCTGCCGGGACGGAGGATGCAATCCATGATGTAGAGGGCCCCAGCTTCGCCTTTCTCCGAGGTGGCCGGATTGGGAGGGATGGAGAGGGCCAAGGGTGAGCGCTTGGGCGTGTGGAGGCTGGGCATGGTGTCGATGCAGTGGGTCTCGGCATCGAAGCGGAAGATGCGCGTGGAGCTGTCGCCAAAGAAGAGCTTGGTTTCGGTGAGAGGGAAGCAGTACATTCTGCCCCATCGATCGTACGGGGTCATCGTGCATATCGATGGTTTCATGGTGACCGTGGCCGCCGGCAGCCGAATGTAAACCGGCTTCTTTATCATCTTCTTCCTGTTCTTTCCCTCCGCCCCCGCCCCGGCCACCGCCACCGCCGAGGGGTTGTTTATTAGGTCTGGCATGTTGGGCATGCCCGTCAATGGAGGCACCACCTTGGCATGTTTCGCTGCTTCTTCCGGTGTCGGGTAGAAGAGCTGGTTGCGGGACAGGTCGAAGCGCCGCAGCGTGGACGTGAATTTCTGGCAATCCGACACCAGCAGGTTCACAAACCGCCGGGCGCTCATCTCCGATCGAAGATCCTCCTTACTTACTTACTTCCTGTTGTAGTAGCAGCAGCAGCGGTACATTCAGAAGAAATGAGAACAAAAATTACTGTAGATCATACCGGCCCTAGGAGAACAATTAAGAAGCAGACGGCGGCGGACCTGGTGCAGAACGGCGGCGCCGCCAGGGGAGCGGAGATTGGCTTTGGATTGGGAGGTACGTCTACGGCACACTTTTTTTTTAGGGATCACAAATTTTCTTCTTGGCGGCCGGTGGTGTTGTTGGGTGGGACCATGGCCCAATGCTTTTCTTCCCTTTATCCAAAGCAGTTGGGCCTGGTAAACCAAACCCATTTTTCTTTCATTTTTTTCAGATATCAGTCATCGTTGCCTCAAAAAAGAAAGAAAAAGATAGCAGTCATCGTAGATAGTACTATAGTAGTGTGCAAGATTGCACATCCATGGCGTTGATAACAGCTCCTACAGGCATAATGTGTGCTTGCAAACTCTTTAGGAAAACACTTGGGGCCGGGGCGCCGGCCGAACGTTCGGCCTTCGTCGTCGCTGCCGTTTTGCCGCTCCTGCTCGCCGGCCATCCATGCCAACCGCGCTCGTCCCTCGGCCGCCCCATGGTTATGTCATAAGGTTGCAGCTGACCGCCAGCCGGTTCCAGCTCACGGCCACCGTGGTTGCAACATCTCCCCGCGTCACCGCCTCCGCTCGTCGCCGTCGTCCGCTCGGACCTCCATGCCCCCCTACTATAAAATCTTAGCCGAAAATCAAAACACCATTGGTTTTGCGGGAAGCAGCAAAAACACATGACGGTTCCAGCAAAATGTATCCACGATTCCAGCAAAACATGCCGCCCCCACCGGGCATAACAAGAAATCTCACCTATTGACGCAGCAAAAAATCATGCCAGTTCCAGCAAAAAAAATTGCCGGTTCCAGCAAAAAGAACTCGACGCCGTCCGGTTCCAGCATCGGTGAATAGTGGTTGCAGCTTTTCTGCCGCCCGGTTCCAGCAAAAATATCTCTGGTTGCAGCATCGGAGCTCGTCGTCTTCGTCGCCGGCAGCTGCTGGTTGCAACAAGCGTGGACTCTGGTTCCAGCATCTCCAGACTCTGGTTGCAGCAAAACAACTTCAGGTTGTAGCACCAACCAGCGTTCATGTTTGCTGGAAACGACAAACACGGTAGCAGCGCCCCCCAGCGGACTCCCTGCGCCGCAAGCACCAACAACAACAAAAGTTGGATCCATGAGTTTTTTGGTGTTGCTTTTGCTGCTTGGCGTTGGGGATTTGTTCTGCTACAACTAACATTCGATTCTGCTGGAAGCAACACCTTCAGATGTGGGTCACGGTAGAGGGCACCATCGTCGGAGGTGGCCCTTCCGACGCCAGCAGAGGTGGCCCTTTTTCCTGCGACGAGCTGTTGCGGGGACGGTGCTGTGGCGGGGACGGTGCTGCGGAGGGGCCCAAATCCAACGTGGAAGCACGGAGGAGCGGGCGAGGGAGGAAGAAGACACAGCTGGCCAGCTGGGGACCAAATTCAATGGTTGTTCGTGACTGATCAGGCGGCTGGGAGTAAACCGGCCGAATGTTTCGGCCGGCGCACCGGCGCCTAATAGTGCCCAACTCTTTATTCCTATGAGGCATGACGCAGGAAGATGAACTTACCATAACGCAGTTCCTGACAACCCAGTGAGCAGCCCACTGCCAGACGTTTACCATCTCCGTCCTGAGGTCCCCTTGCGCCTTGTTCCGGGGTCAGGGTCCCCAGGTTCCAGTTGAGGTCGGTCCTGACGAAGCCGGAACGCACGCAGTTGACGACATCCGCTGCCTCTTCAATCCGTTCCTTCTTGAGGTCACAACCCATGATTAAACCTCTTAATCCAAGCCTCCTACATTGGATAAGGTATATCTCAGTTCCCAGACTGAGTTCTTGCCCACTTACCGGTTGCCGCTGCTGGCATTTGCCTAAGATGACAGCCTTCTACCAACGGATTAACAACCTGGAGCCGGCGATGATCAAGTCTTTTCATCAGAGCAAAGTTTTTTTCTCGTTACTGTTTCATGCTCGTGTTTGATGTTGCAGAAACTGGAAGCCGGCGACGCGGATCATCTCCGGCCTCCTTCTGCACCTGCACCGCATGTTCGTAGAGCGTTGGGAACCTGTACTTGGGAGGAAACGCCGAGCGAGATGTGATAAGAGGAACATCAGCTTGTCAAAACCAACTCTTGTCGGTCTCTTTGGGTTGCAAGTTCCAACTCTTGGGTGGGTGTTGTTGCTGCAGCAGAGCATCTCTTTGGGTTGCAAGTTCGTTTCTCCACTCTATCATAGAGCTTAGACTCATGCTTTTGGGCAAGAAGTTAAGAGACAGAGCCCCATTATGATCCTAACCAAACCAACCCACTTATGCAAATTTTAAGTAGGCTTTTGATTAGAATTTTCTGAAAACACATGCATAGGAAAAATATGGGGTATGAAATGCTAGGGCCATTGAAAACTATTTGAAATTTGAAACACGGGAACATGGAACCAAAGTCATTTCGTTGCATCATAAGAGAAATACGTGAATTTTCTTCAGGGCCTCTTCGTTGCAGGATTCTCAAAATGCCCAAATAGAAAAAAACGCAGGAATTGGATGTCATGACATGCCATTTTCTACAGAAATGGAGACCACATGAATAAGCAATAGAAAAAGTTTGATGTGGCATAGAAAAAACACATGACTTTTTGAAGGATTAGGTCATATGTCATGAAAAATTTGCGGGGAGTGCATATGTCATAATTGACATTAAAAGAACCGAAAACTTCCCAGGTACAAATCATAGGAAAACTTCCCAAGTATACAAACCAAAGCATCATAAAAAAATAATTCTAAAGATTCTACTCCCATAATATTTCTGACTTCGAATCAAAGATCAAGAATTAGGTGTGTGCCATAGTAGCCAAAGAAAACTTTTCCATGAGACAGGAGCCAATGAAAGCTCAGTAATAGAATGCGGTGCATGAAATAATTTCAATTGCAGATTGCCTGTGATGGACACAATCGCCTCTCCGTTTCACCTATTTACTCTGTTTCCTATATCTGACAGAAGTTTACAGGGACGAATACAACTCCAGAGTTTCACAAGTTCCCATCCACCTCTGTTTTCTTGCTCCGAACGAAAAGGTCAGTGGAGTTTCAGACAGGCAGAGATGTCGCGGCAATAAGCAGCAGGGCCAAGTATCAACCGCTCATCTCTGGTTCGAATCGCATAACTTAAAACTTTGCACCAGTAAGTAAATCAAAATGCAAGTGTTTCTTCCATTGGTACTGTTTATTATTATTATTATGTTGGCGCAAAAGAAATACTGAACATGACTTGAACAGGAAGAAATAAAACATCTAGTGATCTGGCGGCACGTACATCATTCATGGTGATGAGGCCGGAAGAGCGACGATGGGGCTCCGCACGACATGCCTCTCCGATACCCAGCTCAAGCTTCCCTCCTCGTACAATTCTTCCTTGCCCAAGTCGCCGCTCACAGACACGCTGAAGGTCTTCTTCTCTCCAATTTTGGAGAATGACAGCATCTCCGGGGAGACACGCACCGTCAGAGACCTCGGCACGGCCACCTTGGCCTTGAATGTTGAATCCGCTGGCCCAACGTTTGTCACAGTTCGGTTCACTGTGAACGGAGTCGGTGAAACCAACACGGTTATCGTCGGATAGTTAAGCTGCGCGTGTTGGACCTTGGGCAGCTTCCCGCAGGTCAAGCTTGAGTTGCGCACGATGGTTGCTAGGCCGCTGTCACCGAGGAACCAGCAGATGTAGCCAGCATACTCAGTGACGCTGAGGTCGTACACCAAGCCAGGGTCGGCGGCTCTCACCGGGTTCACATGGCCGGCACCTATGTCGAACACCCCGGCCTTTCGATGCTGCTCATCCAAGATTGAGCCACCAGTGCTATTAACGATGTCCGACGTCGTTAGGATAGCAGACTTGATGGCGGCTGGCGACCAGTCGGGATGGATGCTTTTAATAAGAGCCGCAACACCACTGACGTGGGGCGTCGCCATGGATGTGCCTGATATGATGTTGAAAGGGCCCTGTCCAGAGGCCGTGCTTGGCGGCCATGCAGCAAGGATGTTGAGCCCCGGTGCCAATATGTCCGGCTTTAGGATGTTGAGGTTGGTGAAGCTTGGACCCCGGGAAGAGAAAAAAGGCACGACAGGGGCCGGGCGGACACCAAACAATGTGTTGTTGTACGTGAGAGAGGCAACAGAGCTGCTCTTCGACGACGCGGCGTAAGCTTTGAGGATGCCACCGTCGGACGCGGTCACCTGTACAACACTAGAGTTGTAATCCTGAACAATGGTGGTGTAGCCACTGATTTCATTGTTGAACAACACCACACCGGACGCACCAGCACCCACTATTCTGCGGACGTTGGACTGTTGAGTCTCTGACTTCGTGTTCTCGCAGACCAGGATCTTACCGGTGATGTCACTGTCATCACTGTAATTGCAGTACCGCCGTTCCTCGGAGTAGACGAGAGGGTGCGACTTTGAGCTCGGACTCGCTTTCTGGGTAAGCGCTTCTCCCTCGATGATCTTGCCATTGCCAAGATTCACACCGGCACCGAAGCTCCGGTCTACGGAGCCGGCGGCGACTGTGAGCAACCACGGGGCGACGTTGGTGACCGAGAACAGATCCGGACCATCGTTACCTGCGGCACACACCATGAGGATGCCCTTGGACATAGCACTAAACGCGCCGATAGCGATGGGGTCTTGATCATATATGGGACTCATGGTGCCACCAAGGGAGAACGAGAGCACGTCCACCCCATCCTTGATGGCCTCTTCCAGGCCGGCCAGTACGGCGGATTCCTCGCAGCCTCTACTGTCACATACCTTGTACATGGCGATGTGTGCGCTAGGAACAATTCCGGCTGCGGTGCCCTTTCCCACACCCACACCATGGTATGACGCGCCGGTGACGAAGTTCCCGGCTGCCGTGGACGAGGTGTGCGTTCCGTGTCCCTCTCCGTCGCCAGAGTCAACACCCTGGATGAATGACTTGGCACCGATGAGCTTGTTGTTGCACCGGGCCGCCTTGCATGAGCCCTTCCACCTTGCTGGGGGTGGTGGAACTCCATGGTCATTGAAAGAAGGGTGTGTCGCATAGATGCCGGTGTCGAGCAATCCAATGATGACTCCCTTCCCGTAGCCAGCCTGGCTCCAGAACCCGGTGTCGTTCCTTAGTCCAAGGAACTCTGGCGTGTGGGTGGTCATTAGCTGCAGGGTCCGGTCGGGGAATGCACGCACAAACCTTGGCTTCTTGGCCATCGTATCTAGCTCGGCGTTAGTGAGCCTCGCGGCGAAGCCACTGAACACCTCGGTGTAGGAATGGAGAAGGCGCGACTCGTTGGACTCACCCGTCAACGAACTCGGCAAGAAAGACTTGTGCCACTGGCGATGGGCGTCTTCGCCGGCATTCGAGCGTGGTGGCTCGACGAGCACGATGTAAGCACGATAAGCAGAGGGTTTTGTGGCATTTTGGTGTACGCTTGTGGCATCTGGATTGATATAGCATAGTGCGAGCGTAGGAAAGAGGATGGCGAGCAAGAGAAGTGGTACAGAGAGATTTGTGAACGACGTCATCCCTCGAGGCTCCAACCACGCAACTACACGATGAAGATGATGGCAATGCCGGAATAGGATCAATCACCGGGCAATCTTTATACAACACAAACAATTAATGTGTTGTGTGTTACTTTTGGCATATATTAATCAGTAATCAAATCCAGCGCATATGGGGTAACGCATTAATGAGTTTAACTTCTGTTAAATCTGGAAGATATGATAAGATTGTGTGGGATGGCAGGAATGGATGTGGGTAATGTATCTACCCGGGTTTATGGTGCCGGGTATAGGGGAAAAGATACATGGTATTTTTTGATTTTCTGGATGATCTTTAACACATATATTAGATATCTGTAAAATTGGAGGATAATTATTCTTTCGAAATTAACAGCTTCTGGTTCTGTATCCCCACCTATGATGTGTTATCATCTCATAAATGAGTACAATCAACATATTCCTAAAGAAAAAAAAATTGGAGTAAATGACAATATTGAAGTCATGAAATTAGGTGAGGTTGAATGGGTCATTTTCTTTTGCGCTCAAAACCTGAGTTCTATCAAAAAAAACTGAGTTCCATCCAATGCATGAACCCAACAGCAGCATATAACAAAACTAAAGAGGGAAACGAACTGAACACATCTTGCTAACGCCCACTGATACGCATCGGCCTTGATCTGATCAATCGTGCGCTGGATTTATCAACTGGCTAAACACAGTGTCAAAAATTATATTGTTTCTTTCTCTTCAAATGCTCTACAAGACCAAAATGACCAGAGAGTTCAGCCTCTTCCCCTCCATAGCTGAGTGCCACCAGTTGATCAGGGGAGGCCACCAATTGATCAGGGGAGTATTCGTGGGAGGAACGACATCTTGGAGATTAGCACATTGCAGCTGAAAAAGGACTTGTAAACTGATCTTGCGGAGAAAACACCTTTCGGCTCCCACAACCACTTGCAAGAATCGCCTCTGTTGGGACTGAGTTGGATCTCAGATAATCTTTCCCACAGCCCAAGGATGAGGATATGACCATTAAGAGGAGTTGCAAGTAAGTTCCAGGCTTGATTTTCAGACGTATGCAAACCTCCAAGCCCATCTAATTTTCAGCGCCGAGTTAATGATTTCTAGATCAACTGATCAAGTATGCGGAGCCCACCAATGTCCTCCTTGAACTGCTTCCGACTTTCTGTCCCTTTCTAGATGAAAGCACGCCGATTTTTATCGATAGCCTTGAACGACCATGGCGGTGCGTGGGTCAAGGGACATAAGCTGGAAGGCAGGGGTACTGAACCAAGATGAGACAACCTCCATGCTACAAGCCACTAGATAAGGAGCGGAGAGACTTCGCAATTTTAGAATCTGAAATCTCAACAAGACAAGATGTATCAATAACTGGGCTCTGGTTCTATTTTCTTATGGCAACAACTCCTTTATTTCTCAAGCAAGCATTCTTCTTAGAGACGAGACGATACATTTGAAGTGATTAAACAGGGATAGATGAAAACATCCACTAACCTAACAGCACAAACGTCATTCATGGTGATCGCAGGGGAGTAGGACCGCCGACTCGAAGGGCAACGATGATCGGGCTCCTCACCACGTGTTTCTCAGACACCCAGCTCAGGCTTCCCTCCATGGATTCTTGTTCATCCATGTGGTGGCCGCTGACTGACACGCTAAATGTCTTCTTCTCTCGAGCCTTGGAGAACACCAGCGTCTCCGGAGAAACACGAACCGTCATCGACTTGGGTGCGTCCACCTTCACCCTGTATGTCGATGTCGCTGGCCCAACGTTCGTCACTGTTCGGTTCACGATGAACGGCGTTGATGTGAATGGCACAGTTATAGTTGGATAGTTGAGCTGGACGTCCTTGACCTTGGGCAGCTTCTCGCAGGTCAAGCTCGAGTTGTGCACGATAGTCGCCAAGCCTTTGTTGCCAAGGAGCCAGCAGATGTAGCCCGCGTAATCAGTTACGCCGAGATCGTACACCAGACCAGGATCGGCGGCTCTCGCCGGGTTCACATGGCCGGCGCCTCTATCGTACGCACTGGCTTTACCGTGCCTCTCATTCAATATCGGGCCACCGATGTTGTTGAAGGTGTCCGACGTTGTCAGGATGGCCGACTTGATGGCAGCCGGTGACCAGTCGGGATGCAAGCTTTTGATGAGCGCCGCAACACCGCTGACATGTGGTGTTGCCATGGATGTACCTGATATGATATTGAAAGGCCTCGATGCAGATTTTTTTTCTTGCAGCCATGCGGCGAGGATGTTGAGCCCGGGAGCCAGAATGTCCGGCTTGAGCACGCCCGGGGAGATAGGGCTTGGACCCCGTGAAGAGAATGAGGCCACGATCGGGTTTGGATGAACACCAAGCATTGTGTTGTTGTATGTGAAAGTGGCCACGGCTTTGCTCGCTGCCGACTTCGCATAACCTGTGATAGCAACCCCGTCTGCTGTGGCCACCTGCACCACTCTCGAGTAGTAATCCTGAAGAAGAATGGAGTAGCCATCGGCTTCATCATTGAACAGTACCACGCCGGCCGCTCCAGCATCCATTATGCTGCGAATGGTTGAATACTGAGGCATCGGTGTCATGGCTTGGCACACCACGATTTTCCCGGTGATGGAAATATGATCCTCATTCTCGCAGAAACTATTTTCCTCGGAGTAGAGGAGAGGATACAACTTTGAGGTTGGCATTTTCACCTGGGTAAGCGCTTCTCCATTTAAGCGCAACCCATTGCCGAGATGTACACCAGCGTCGAATCTCCGATCCACCGAGCCGGCAGCGACCGTGAGCAACCACGGTGCGTTGTTGATGACCGACCGTGGAGTGGGACCATGGTTGCCAGCCGCACACACCACAATGATACCCTTGGATATCGCGCTGAACGTGCCGATGGCGATGGGATCCTGGTCGAAGCTCACACTGGTGGGACCGCCGAGGGACAGCGAGAGCACGTCCACCCCATCCTTGATGGCCGCGTCCAGGCCAGCCACTATCGCAGATTCTTCACAGCCAATCCCAGTGCACACTTTGTACATGGCGATGTGGGCACCTGGAGCAATTCCGGAAGCAGTGCCCATGCCTACGCCATGGTATGACGCATTGGTAATAAAGTTCCCACCGGCAGTGGATGAGGTGTGTGTTCCGTGCCCCGCAAAATCAAATGGGCGGTCATCACCGGTAATGAATGATTTGGCACCGATGAGCTTGTTGTTGCACCTGACCTCCCTGCACGAGCCTTTCCACTTTGTCGGGGGTGGTGGGATGCCATGATCGTCGAACGAAGAGTGAGCTGCATAGATTCCGGAGTCGAGGAGCCCGATGATCACTCCCTTCCCGTAGCGTGTGTCGCTCCAAAACCCGGTGCCACTCCTCAGCCCGAGGAACTCCGGCGTGTGCGTGGTCATGAGCTGCAGCATCCGGTCTGGGAACGCGCGCACAAACCCTGGCTTCTTGGCCATCGCGTCGAGCTCAGCTTCAGTGAGCCTCACAGTGAAGCCGCTGAACACCTCGGTGTAGGAGTGGAGGAGACGTGGCTCCCCAGATTCGCCGATGTGAGAGCTGGGCAAGAAAGTCTCATACCACCGACGATGCCCGACTTCGGCGGCACTTGAGGGAGGTGGGTAGACGAGCACGATGTAAGTGCGGTAATCAAGGGTTCCTGTGGAACCCTCTTGTACCCTTGCGGCAGCTGGACTGATATAGCACAGTGAAGGTGTAGGAGAGAGGGTGGCGAGGAAGAGAAGTGGTAGTAGTAGTTTGATGAGATTGGTCAAGGACGACATTGCTGAAGCTAGGCAAACCTACACGACTGAGGAAGGCGATGGCGGTGGGGTGTCTGTCTGCCATCACCCGGTGTTCTTCATTTATACAGTACGAGTGATCAATGTGCTGCAACTTTTATGGTGCAGAAGTTAATCACTTGGAGATCTAGCGCATGCAGCAGCATACAATACAAGAGATCTATTTTGTGCCAAATAAATGCAGTACGAGCGGGGAGGCCAGATACGTGCTTGCACTATGATTGTTTTTCTATATCCTGCATGAATCATATCTCACAATATATGAGGGAAATGAATGACTCAAATTTAACATTATATAGATATTATTGATTTTGTGATATCGTGTCATAAATGTAGTGATAGAAATGAGATCAGGTGAGGTCGAACTGATCACCAATTGAAATTGCTATTCTCAGTGACTTCTCTTGGTGTGACATGCTAAACATTTGATCTGTTTCATTAACTAGTGATTGAGTGGCATAGTACTCTCAAGTTTACTGGGCTATTACTCACAAAGTGGTTTGGATGTGCAGTTTCTACGACTACTTGCTAACTTAACACAAATATTGTGCAGCTGCTGTGTGTGGCTCAGCAACGTCGTAGTGCCATCATAATAAAGGAACACACTCTGTTTATGTTCTGGGATTCAAACTGATTACCTTCTAATAGACTCTGTTATTGTGAATTATTTAAGATTCAATCAGCTCCTCTTTTCAAAAACGCGCTTATATTATGGGACGGAAGGAGTACTATGTAGGACCATAGCTGGTCCTAAATTCTTTATTCATGTCTAAAATGCACGAACAGAAACTTGGTCTGGCCAATGGCCTCAGGCATGACTCAGGGAGATGAACTTACCACACCGTAGTTCCTGACAATCCAGTGAACAGCCACTACCAGACATTCACCATCTCCGTCTGATCGAAGTAGCACCCGGTCGGCCCGTCCTGAGGGAGCAGGGCCAGCATGACCGGCCCCCTCGCGCCCTGTTCCGGCGTCAGGGTCCCCAGGTTCCAGTTGATGTCGGTCCTGACGAAGCCGGGTCGCACGCAGTTGACGCGCATCTCCAGGTGCCGCCTCGCCAGGATCCTCGTGTACAGGTTGATCACCATCTTCGACACGCTGTAAGCCGGCAGCATCGCCGGCCACCCTGCCTCTTCAAGCCGTCCCTTCTTCAGGTCATCCATGAAGGTGTTCAGCACCGCCTCGATCCGCGCCTCGTCCCAGATGTCGATGTTGCTCAGGTCCTTCCGTAACTCCTCGTTCGGCATTCTCTGGCAGGCACCAAAATTGAGCACATCAGTTAACTGATTCTTGCTTCTGGAGGGTCTGGAGGTTCTTGGAGAAAGCATTTCAACTGATGGCGTACCTTAAGCTCTGAAGCAAGGGAGGAGGCGTTAACGATCCTCGCTCCATACTTGGATAGTTTCAGTAGAGGAAGGAGGGCTTCTGTTACCCGTTTGGATCCATAGTAATTGGTGTCGAGACAATCCCGTGCCACCTCATAGGTATTCTGGAACACGCCTTTGAGCAGAATGGCTGCTCTGCCAGATGTCTGAATCACAAATAAATTTAAAACTGAACACTGAACATTGGTGGTACCAACTACCAAGTATGCATGTTACAGATGAAATTGTAGTTCTACTGATGACATAAAAACATGCTAAGTTGCAAAAGGTCAGATCAAAAGAAAATTATCGTGTGGCAAGCGTGATCAGCTATTTTCAAAAAAAGATCCAGAGAGAATCAGTACCCATGTCTCTGCATCAAGGTTCAGAGCTTTGAGGCCTTCCTCGTCTGCTGCAACTCCTACAACCGCTGCATTGTTGACCTGTATGTATTACCCAACCAATCCTCATTCACATAATATGTTCCCAACAAAGATGCACAGGTGATGGTGCTACCTAAAACAGTACCAAAAAAGCCTTGACTTTACCAAGATGTCAAGCTCTCCGTATCTGCTCTCGATGTGTCGCGCTAGAGCGGCGACGCTGCTGTCATCCCGGACGTCGAGCTGGTGGAAGACTACGTTGGAGAGGTTGAATTCACGGCGAATGGACTCGACGGCATCCTTCCCTCTCTTCTCGTCCCTTGCCGTGAGAATGACAGTAACACCTCGGGCGGCAAGCTGCCGGCACACCTCCAAGCCGACCCCCTTGTTTCCACCAGTGACCACTGCAAGCCTGAAGAAAAGCAGGCAAAATATCAGCATCCCTGCTCATTTTTACTTTTATTCTTGGATTGGCAAACACTAGTAGAAGCTGACTACTAGGAGGAATGGGCAGAACCTGATTTATGAACAACAAATATGCATTAAACCTATTTTTTGAATGAATATATATTGATGATCATTTCAGGCTTTTCCGGGCTTTCAGGCCGGGCTTCGGGTGGAAAAGTTGAGCCCGAGCTTGGCCCGGACGCCAGGGTTTCGGGCCAGGCTGCCCAAGAACAGGTCCAGCACTAAGCATACAACTAGAACGAGCAACCTAGAGTGCAGAAGAGTGCCACTTAATCTGAGAACACGCGAGATATGTATTCTACTACTAGTAATCTAGTATACAAAGGTCAACTCAGGATGCAATCAGAAATCAGAGTAAGATTCACCATCGGTGGTACCTGTGCGATGCCTGCTTCCCGTCGGCGGCGGCTACGTGCGACGGCTTCTCCATGGCTTGCGGAGTTGCAGTGGGTGGCTAGGACGGCTGGGTGGGGGTCGGAGACGGCGAGGCGAGGCGAGAGAACGCTGGGTGGGAGTGGGGGTTGGTGGCCGGGTGATTAGGCTCCAGATTAACCCTAGACCGTGGTGGTGTGGTTGCTGGTTAGTAAAAGACCATGGAGTATTTTACGAGTTGCCTCGGAGGGCTCGTCCCGACGGCGCCAGTCCAACGCCGACGATATGGCTGTGGGGCAGGGGAGGAAGAGGGAGACTGCTTTGCTTGGACATTTTTTTGCGGGAAGAGGTGATGGTTTTGCGGGAAGAGTGAGACTGCTTTGATTGGTCGTCGAGAGGCGTTGACTCCCTTGCTTTCGGAGTAAATTGCACAGAAGTATCATAAAGGGATTGAAATCAGATTGATACCAAGTTTGGTAATTTTTATGTGTCAATACCAATTCTGGGGCTAGACGTTACAAAAAGGTCTAAATCGCGTATAAACGCGTATTGACGGTGTATCTGACCAGCGGGCCCCGCATGTCAGCTGCCGATGTGACATTTTTTTGCAGAAACCCCCCGCACCTCCTTCGTCCTCACGCGCGGCGGCGCCCGATCTGGATCGAGGGGAGGAGCCCCTCGAGCCCAAGCTCCTTCGCCTCCCGTAACCCCCGCCCCGCCCCGGCCTCCTCCTCGCTTCGCCACCGGCCGGCCACTGGAGCACCACCACTGGCGACCAGGACCAGGCCGTCCCCGCACCCTGCCTCTCTCCTTCTCTTCCTCCTTCCATGTTTTCTTCTCTCTCTCTCTCTCTCTCTCTTTCTCTCACCCGGAGCTCTCTCTCTCTCTCTCGACGCGCCGCATTGTTTCCGGTCATCCCCACGAGTGAAAGAGGAGGAAGACAGAAAGGGATCCATGGCGGCGGCTGAGTGGGTTGATGGGAAGGGGAAGGTCGCTGGAGGAGGGGGGGAGGAGGACGGCGCCGGGCGAGGGATCTGGTCGACGGCGAGGGAAGGCGCGCACGGCTGCTGGGGTTCGAGCTGCTGCAGCGGAGGGGGGAGAGGCCACGGCGAAGAGAGAAGGCGAGAGTAGAGGCCACGACGGCACGAGCAGAGGCCGCCAGGGGCAGCTCTGGTGCAAGCGGGG